CCCCCCCCCCCCCCCTCCATCAAGAAGTCCAACCCAAACTGCTAGATCTAAAGGCCAAGACGCTGAGGATAAACCCATTAGACTGCGCAGCCTCCCCCGGCTGCTTTTCCAAGAAATTGTGAATCGAAGATAATAAAAATGTTCGTTTGAATTGTTTGGCAGGTTTGTTCAATTCGGAAAGACTGCCCTACCCGATAAGGAAAACCCTGGAGTAAAGCACATTCGTTACAACTGGTAAGCTTATCTCTTGAAGTACATTTATGATTATAATAGGAATTCTGTAGATCAAAACTGATCGTATCATTTAATGCCATATTAATGGTTTTCTAATAACTGTCGTATACTTAAGTCAAAGAAATTGTCAAAGAATCAAATAATCACAAGAAATGGAAATACAGCTCAATAAACCAATCACAATTCGAATCCGAAATGCGTAGCCGGTGGTAGGCGCGGGAAAATGCGCGTAATTCAATTCCTGATTGGTTGAAAAACCAAAGGTTGACTCTGACTGGACAAGTACTTTTTAACCAATTGAAGAGCTTGATAAATACAAATCGTTAACCAAACACATTAGTGGCAATTTCGATAGTCAATAGAAAATCGGTTATTTTTTCACCATTTAGGAACTTTATAACCAAATGGACGTTCATTTCTTCTTGGATTACGTACCTACAGTCACTTTGAAAAATCCACAGAACTTCGGCACATTTACTCAGTGTTTTGTGTTTGGTGTCTTAGGGCAACACACAAACCCTTCACGTTGGACTGTAATCACAAAGTCAGGCCTCCCACAGTGGACCGCCCGTCTGAAGCTCTGTACAAAGCTTACATACATGCTGGAAAAAATGGTCGTTTTTGGCCGTCACCGGTCAGCGTTGAGGTTTATAGGAAATACGTAAGCAAGAACTATCAGTAAGCAAACGAAAAAAAGAAAATCATCGACGAGTTTGCAAGAAATAGAGCTTTGGACGTAAGCAACCTCTTTCACTAAGAGTGGACACCACACTGAACTGTTACAGTGAGCAGTCTTAGACTGTCTTAGTGTGTATTTTTTGGAATTAAATGAACGTCTTCAGAAATCACATGACAGAATATTCAGTAGTGTCAGTGGAACAAGCACTTTTTGATTGTGACTAAGCCGTTTGCACGATCCGGTCACATGGTACGGAATTAATTACGCTGGGACGCAAGTTACACAGCGGGACTTCCAAAACAAAGGAACTCGTACCATTCCAGCTCGACTTTCCTTTGTTTTGAAAGTCCCACTGTGTAACTTGCGTCCCAGCATAATTAAATCCGTACCATGTGACCGGATCGTGCAAAGGGCCTATTCTGGTCTCCGCCACCGGACTGAGCCCGACGTTTTGTCTTGAACTTGTCGGGAACTGATCGCGCCATGATGACAAGATGATAAGTTTTTGCGCTCATTGCTTTTTTGATTGGATGATAAAAACGGCAAAAACTTCACGATTGTTTGATTGAAGACTTCCAAAAGGGTACCCGAATCTGACTGAAAGGATCTGTCCGTAATATCCTAGTGCTGTATGACGACATTTTTCAGAGTGTAGTCGTTTGTTGTAAACTTGAGTGATTAACATGGAAAGATTTAAGCTAAACATATTCAACCAAGATAGTATTATTAGAGCTTCTAGTTATAATTGCAAGAAAAATATAAAACAGAGTTATGAAATTGAAGTTAAATTTATAAATAAAATTGCCATTACGTTTTGGC